TGGGAACCCCAAAAATGAACTGGGAACCCAAAAATTTCAACTGGGAACCCCAAAAATTAACTGGGAACCCAAAAATTGAACTGGGAGAGCAAAAATCCAACTGGGAACCAAAAAAATTCAATTGGGAACCCCAAAAAATCAAACTGGGAACCCCAAAAATGAACTGGGAACCCCAAAAATGAAACTGGGAACCAAAAAATCCAACTGGGAACCCCAAAAATGATAACTGGGAATCCCAAAATCCAACTGGGAACCCCCAAATCCAACGGGGAACCCCAAAAATTAACTGGGAACCCAAAAATTGAACTGGGAGAGCAAAAATCCAACTGGGAACCAAAAAAATCCAATTGGGAACCCCAAAAAATCAAACTGGGAACCCCAAAAATGAACTGGGAATCCCAAAATCGAGCGAGGAACCCCAAAATCCAACTTGGAACCCCAAAATCCAACTGGGAACCCCAAAATCCAACTGGGAACCCCAAAATCCGACTGGGAACCCCAAAATCCGACTGGGAACAAAAAATCCAATTGGGAACCCCAAAATCCAACTGGGAACCCCAAAAATGAACTGGGAACGGAAAAATCCGACTGGGAACCCCAAAATCCAACGGGGAACCAAAAAAATCCAACTGGGAACCCCAAAAATTAACTGGGAACCCAAAAATTGAACTGGGAGAGCAAAAATCCAACTGGGAACCCCAAAATCCAACTGGGAACCCCAAAATCCAACTGGGAACCCCAAAATCCAACTGGGAACCCCAAAATCCAACTGGGAACCCCAAAATCCAACTGGGAACCCCAAAATCCAACTGGGAACCCCAAAATCCAACTGGGAATCCCAAAATCGAGCTTGGAACCCCAAAATCCAACTGGGAACCCCCAAAATCCAAATGGGAACCCCAAAAAATCAAACTGGGTCCCAAAAATCAAACTGGGAACCCAAAAATCCGACTGGTAACCCCAAAATCCAACTGGGAACCCAAAAAATCAAACTGGGAGAGTAAAAATCGAACTGGGAACCCCAAAAAAATCAAACTGGGACCCAAAAATTGAGCTGGGAACCCCAAAATCAAACTGGGAGAGCAAAAATCCAAATGGGAACCCCAAAAAAATCAAACTGGGTCCCAAAAATCCAACTGGGAACCCAAAAAATCGAACTGGGAACCTTAAAATCAAAGTGGGGACCCCAAAAATCGACTGGGAACCCCAAAAAATCAAACTGGGACCCCTAAAATCAAAGTGGGAAACAAAAAATCAAACTGGGAGAGCAAAAATCCAACTGGGAACCCCAAAAATCCAACTGGGAACCCCAAAATGAAGCTGGGACCCCCAAAATTTAAAGTGGGACCCAAAAAATGAGCTTGGGACCCCAAAAATCCAACTGGGAACCCCAAAAAACCCAAACTGGGACCCCCAAAATCCTCTTGAGACCCCCAAAAATTCCCTCCCACCCAAACCCTGGGAGCTTAATTAGGGGGCTTTGGGATGGGTAATTAGTGCCTTGAGCTTAATTAGGGGGATTTTGGGAGGGTTAATTAGTGCCTGGGGGCTTGATTGGGGGTCATTTAGGGACTGGGGGGTTAATTGGAGACTGGGGGGGCTAATTAGGAGCTGGGAGTTAATTAGGGTGGGCTGGGGGCTTGATTAAGGGTTGGTTTTAGGGGGGTTAATTAGGCCTGGGGAGCTTAATTCGTGCTTTGGGGCTTAATTAGTGGAGGTCTGGGGTCCTAATTAGAGACTGAGGG